GGGCCGGGGTCCTGCTGTGCCCGCTGTGCTGCCATGAGCTTCCTCTCTCTCCTCATGCCCTGCCTCTGCTGCTACTTTCCTACCCTGGGGTGCCTCAAACTTTGCCAGCGGGGTTACGACGGCCTCAAACGACCCGGCTGCCGCTGCCAGAGCCACACCAACACGGTCTGCAGAAAGATCTCCTCCTCCAGCGGCACGCCTTTCCCCAAGGCGCTGGATAAGCCGGTATGACCCTCCCGGCGAGGAGAAGCGGGCTTTACTCCTCTTCGTCCTCCTCCTCCTCCTCTGCCCTCCGTCCCCCCTCCTCCTTCGGCTCCCTCCGCTCTGCAGCGCTCCCCCCTACCCACCATCACCTCCCCAGAATGAGACGGGTGAACTGGGGGTGCCCTGGCCTCCGGGAACACGAAGGCGGCTGGGTGACCAGGGACCGAGCTGGTGGGAAACGGTGGCTTTGCACGTGCGGGTGAGGGACCGGGAGCGGCCGGGAGAGCTGCGGGTGCCCACCCTGGCTGTGCCCCATGGCACCGGGCAACCCGGGGTTCCTCAGGACTCTGGTCTTGGAGGGCTTTAGGAGCTGCCACTGCCCCATGGCGTGGTCCTTCCAGATGGGGGGAAGAGGCAGGTCAACGCATCCCCTCTGCAGGAGTCCTCCAGGAGCCAGACCTCCTTCTCCCTCTCTTTGTCTCTCTCCAGCACTTTTGGCGGGTGGCCTCTCTCCTCTCACGTGGCCGTAGGTCCGCTTTCCCTGAGGGGCTGGGGTGCAGCGGGGTCGCGCCGGTGGCAGTGGCTTCTCTCTGGGCTCGGGAGTCACTGGGAGAAGCAAGCAAGCTTCAGAATGAGGTGGCAGCGTATTTTTCTGTCTCAAAGAGGAAGGGAAGGTGTGGGAAGCTTTAGAAACCTTCTGGCAGGGGAAGGAGCTATCGGAGGCAGCCCAGCCCACTCGCTTCTGCCCGACTGCAGCGAGGGAAAGGTCCCCTCTGGGATTTGGCTGAGAACAAGAAGCTGGGTTGAAATTGCCATTCATTTCTCCATGCCTTGAAGGGCTGCCTCCAGAGCGCAAGCCCTGCCGGGACGGGAGCTACCGCCCAGCTCCATCCCACCACCGAGCAGATGCCGCAGGCACCGGCTCCATGCTCGAGCCCCGAGAGCCCTGATCTGGTACCTTCCACCAGCACTGAATTCACTTTAAAAAAAATACCCTAAACCCAACTGCCAACGTTTGCCACTCGGGCTGGTTCACGGCAGTCCTGGGGGACTCTCCGTCGGGGACTCCTGCAGACCCTGCTTCGGGCTGGAGGGAAACAGAGAGCAGAAGGTGGTGTTGGAAGATGGGAGCCTGACCTTCCCTCCCTGTAGAAGCTGCCTTTGAGTCCTCACCTCGCTTTCCTTGGCCCACATCACGCTGGCAGGCAAACCCTCCCGGCGCTGCTGAGGGTGTTCTGCCATAGAGGTGGCTCTGAACCAAGCCCTGGGGCTGGGCCATCTGCAGACCAGAAGGAGACCTGAATCGGGGTCAGCGCTTCGTGGTCTACTTGCTGTGATGATGATGAGCCCAACCCGTTGCTGCCATCGAGGAGAGCCCCTCCTGGTCTTGGGCTCAGCCCCATCTCCGCTTGCAAACCCGTGGTGCCAGCTCTCGGTGGTGACCCTGTTGACATCGGGCAATCGGTTGGGGGAGTTTGGAGCCGGGATGATGTTCCTGGTGCTTGGCTCTGCCTGCCTGTCCCTCCTCTGAGGTGTGTGAGTGTGGAGGGAAGCCAACGGCTCCCCCGGAGAAATATATGCAACATGCCCCTTGGCCTCCTCCAAGACCCTGCCGTCCAGGGCTCATCCGTCGCCTTCCCCCAGCCACCTCTTTACGCAGAGTTCTGTGGATCTATTTTTGTATATATAAATATAACGTTAGGATGGCTAGGTCTATTACTAATAATATTCATGATACTGCTGTGAATGGTGCCAGATGCGAGGTTTGGCTTCCTGGTACGCTCGCACATGGTGGAAGATGATTTCCCAGTCTGTTTATTGCTAATCCCAGACCTTTACCTCCCGGGTAGCCGGGAGAGGGGCAAAGGGAGGCTGACGGATTGTCCTGGGGGGGGTCTGCTTTGTGCAGAGAGGGTAGGAGTTAGTGCTGGCTGTGGGGCGAGGCAGGAGGTCGACTCTCATGACGGGATTCCTCTTTCCGTGCATTTGCTATCTTAAAATCGCGGCTGATCCAAGCTCCCTCTGTTGCAGAGGAAAGCGGTTCCAGGGAGTGATTCATCCCGCTTGAAAACATTATTCATTAAATCGTGTTCTGGCAGCGCCTGTCTCCTTTGATCCAAATGGGACCCAAACCCCGAACTCGCGGTTCCCTGTGGAAGGGGAGACGAATCCCATCTCCGGGGTGAAGTTTGTGCTGGGGACGTTACGGCCGTGACCCAAATCTTCACCCTGATGTCACCTAGAGCCCAAGGGGTGATGTTGGAAGATGCTTCCTCTGGCCAGGGATGGAGAGCCTGTTTCCACAAGTTGTGGGGAGTTCGGGACGATGCTCTGGGTTACAGTGAGGATCTCCTGGCATTAAGGAGGGAGAGGGCCATGCCTGTGCAGCTTGCACATCCTCTGAGGCCAGCCCTGGACTCTGAAATCGCTCGGGGTTTAAGGCAGTGACCTTCTCGAGCGATGCGCTATAGGCGTGCGCACCCCCAGAAGGTCAGTCCATGTCTCTGTGGCAGCAGTTATAAAATATATCGCAAACATATTTAACCATATGCCAATAATTGCTTGGCTCACTACTTCCAAGCGACATTTGGGGGAGAGACTTCCACCAAGAGGCACCCTTCCTTTTGAACGCTCGGTTCACTTCTCTGTTGGTGCTGATTAAACTCCTCCTTCCTAAAAAATGTAAAACTCTTTTTAGGGAAAAAAGGTCCCTTTCTCACTGAGGATTTGAGGAACTGCCTCGCTTGAATAAGAATGTGAAATAGTTCATTGAAACTTTTAAAAGAAAACTAATGAACAGAATTTTCCAACTTGCTCTACTTTGATTTTTTTTTTTTTCCTCCTCCTTTTTAAACGGATCCTACTTGTAAATTTAGTTACCACCTCTGTATCTCTGCAATTCATTGCTTCCTCTCCTGATGGTGGAATGACTCAACATGTGAAGCTTCATCATTTTCGCGGCCTCCGAAGTCATGCAAGCACGGGGTGACCTCCCCCAGGTGCTGGAGCCATAGGATGAGGAGATGACTGTCCACACACCAGCTCCCCGGAGCCACTTCTGCTTGGCACCGGCACGGTGAGGCAGAGCCCCGCGCTACTGCTGCGGCGTATTTACCTTCGGCAGTTGGTTGGTGGCCGGGATGCCTGCCAGTAGCCTTCTACCTAATGGGATTTTTCTGGGTCAGTGCGGAAGTCCCATTTCTACCAGGGAATCCTGCCATGGCCTGGGTACGGGGCTGAGGAGTCCAGCCAGGTCTCCTGAATATCTCGTCTCCAAGAAATGACAAACCTGTGAAATGAATTTTGTGAAACACGGGACACGTAGAAGGGAATTGGAGAGGACGAGAGACCCAGAAGGGGACTGAGGGCTGTCAGACCAGCGCGCGGCTTTTGTTTGATCATGTCGAGGGCAAAACACCGAGTCACGTCCAGGCCGTGGGCTGGAGAAGATTAGAGCTGCTCGTAGGGGCAGATGGCTTCTCGTGGGGTTCCTGCTCCCCGCTCCATCTGGAGGGGTCTGCGCGAGCTCCCTTGATCTCAGCAGAAAGGACAGGTCAGGATTTGCCAAAATCTCTCCAAGGGGCCCAGCTCTGGTTCACCGAGCTCATCTGGTGTCAGGACGGCTGCGCGTAGCCTCTGATCATGTTTTTTTTCCTGAGCTTTTCCTAACGTCTTCAGACCAGATCCATCCTGCTCCCTCCCCGTCTCTGGCTGCCAGTTTGGTTTCCCTGCAGAGAGGGCTCCAGTCTTGGTAGGGGTTGTGAGCCCCTTTCCTGCCCCACCCTGTAATGAGTCAGATAACATCTGCTCCAGATGTTTGTTTGCAGCTGCTTGTCCTGGCAGTTTGGGTTTCTCTCTGCCCTGACGTGTCTTTTTTGGTTTTCTTCTGGGAGAGTCACATGTTGAGTCCTCTGTTTTGCCTGCGCCGCTGTGATTTGACAAGGATGTATCTGCTTTGCGAGGGAACATTTCTCTGCGTCGTGTGTCTCTGCCGGTCGTGGGCTCCTTTGCCAGGAACCCTGCGGGGCTGTAGGGCAAACCCAGATGGGGAAAGAGAGACTCAAGTGCCAACGGAGCAGGAGGTGGGAGGTGCCAAACAGGACCTGAGCTCCTCCTGCTCTGCTCCCCATGCAGGAGCTGCTTCTTCCCACCCAGGCCTCCAAAGCTGTATCCATGCAAGAGCTCTTGCTGGCCCTTGCTTTCTCCAGGGCTTCCCTGGGTCCCGCTCCCCTCCTTCCCTACTGGCTCACGTCTGGTCAGTCCCAGCACTGGTGAGGAGGGGTCTCTGGGGACTGAGGCGGGGTCTCCGTCCCATCCCAGCTCCCCCAGACCTCCTGGTGGAAGGGCAGAAGTGGTGCTTGGGCTGCTGCCCACCCAGAAAACCACCCACCGAGAGAAACATCAGTGCCAGCCAGGTTCCTCGAAGAACTGGGGGGGAAGCTCTTTGGGACTCTACTCTCAGATTCCCATAAAATCCCGTTGAGTTTGCTCTTCCCTATCCCCATGTGTGAACCCAAAGACCGGCGGGCAAGTGTCATCGACCGAAAGATGCCAAAGCACAGGATAACGGTTTGTGAACGGCTGCTGTAGCGCAGTGAAGAGGGGTGAGCGGAGGGGTGAGAGGAGCTACTGCAAGGTTTGCATGGCTGGTCTGTGCAGGGAAGGAGCACACCATGTCCCAGACTCGCTGTTCCCCACACCCGCTTTGTTAGCTCTCTGTCCCTGGCCCTTGGGTGTTTCGAGGCTGGAGGAAGCTGGAAGGTCTTCAGAGGTTGGAAGGTCTTTCTGTGATCAGTGTGTGAGGGAAGTAGACAAGGGACGTACCCCCACCCCAAAGCCCATTCTTGGTCGTTAACAGGATCCAGTTCAGGCTTGTCTCCTGCAAGGAGCCTGTGGAGCCCAGACCTGCGGGATGCTTGCAGCAGCTGGAGGCTGCTGGTCGGCGTCTGGTCCGTGAGGGCCAAACCAGAGCTGTGATCTCTTTGGGCTCGGTCTGCTTCGGGCTATTTCTCAGTGAGCATCGGGAT